CATTGGAAAAAAAGAATTCTATTTATTTCTGTGTGTGGGGAGAGCCTGGTGTCGCTCCCGTGGCTCTGGATGACTGGAATCATCCTCAGCTTGGGTTGCTTGGCATTCCTGAGGCCAGCAGGGGTGTGGGAGTGCAGGAATGTCCCAGTTTTGTGTGTCCCCCAACAGCATGAGCACATGGCAGCCATGAGTGTCCAGCTCTGACGGACACAGGGAACTGTGGCTTTTTCCATTAATAAAATCTGGGAGTTTGCCCCTTTTCAGGGAATGAAGGCCATTTGTCATCCTTAAAACAATTGTGTGGGGGCCTTTATGAGCTCCTAGAATTTAAGAGCATGGAAAGGGCCTGGCTGGTAGTGTGGCTTTGGTGGGCCTGGCCTGTGGCTAACGTGGGCTGAGGCCAAGCTGAATTTGGTGGATCCGTGACCATTTTGGGCTTGGCCACGACCAACAGGCCACAACCACCTTGTCTGGGCCAAGAACACTTTGGGCTTGGACTTGGCCAAACTAAACTGTGACCACCTTGGATTTGGCCATGTCCAGTGTGGGCTGTGGCCAACCTGAGCCTGGCCATGACCAAACTGGATTGGGGACACCTCCAAGGTGGCCATGAACCCCTTGGACTTGGCAAACCTGGACCGTGACCACCTTGGATTTGGCCATGTCCATCATGGGCTGAGGCCAGCCTGAATTTGGTGGGCCATTTTGGGTTTGGCCATGACCAACAGGCCACAACCAGTTTGTCTGGGCCAGGAACACCTTGGACTTGGCCTTGGCCAACCTAAACCAGGACCACCTGGGATTTGCCCGTGCCCAGCGTGGGCTGTGGACAGCCCGAGCCTGGCCATGGCCAAACTGGGCTGGGGACACCTCCAAGGTGGCCATGACCCCCTTGGAGTTGGCCTTGGCCTAGCTGGACTGTGCCCACCTTAGATTTGGCCATGTTCAGTGCGGGCTGAGGCCAGCCTGAGTTTGGTGGACCATTTTGGGCTTGGGCAGGACCACCAGGCCACGACCACCTTGTCTGGGCCGGGAACACCTTGGACTTGGATTCGGCCAACGTAAACTGTGACCACCTTGGATTTGGCCACAGCCAGCAGGGGCTATGGCCAGCCTGAGCCTGGCCATGGCCAAGCTGGGCTGGTGACACCTCAAAGGTGGCCATGACCCCCTTGGACTAGGCCTTGGCCAACCTGGACTGTGACCACCTTGGATTTGGCCACAGCCAGCAGGGGCTATGGCCAGCATGAGCCTGGCCGTGGCCAAGCTGGGCTGGGAACAACTCCAAGGTGGCCATGACCCCCTTGGACTAGGCCTTGGCCAGGCTGGGCCTGGCACGTGCCGAGGGCAGATCCCAGAGAGGGGCTTCACTTCCCTCCTGTGGCGTCACCAAGATCACTGGGTTCAGGCAGGACATGAGCTCCTCCCAACCTGAGTGACAGCAGGGCCACCTCCCAGGGGTGACAACTCACCTGGACACATCCATGAACTCCCAAATCCCAACGGGAGCGCAGAGGCACTGGGAAAGCAGAGCCAGCAGCTGCCACAGGCTCAGCTGGGCAATTAAACCTTTTTTTTTGTGAGTTAAAGAAGCCCCCAAAATAGCACCTGAAACCAATAAACTTCCCTTTCAGGAACTTCTGTAATTTGAAACATACTCAAGAACAAAACAAAACAAAAAATCCAGAATTTTTTCAGGTTGTTTATCAAGTAGGACTTGGTGGGGTTGTTTTTAAATCCCTTCCTCGTGGAAGGGCTGGAGGGACAAATGGGATGGAGGGTCCAGGCAGAAGGAAAGTGGGATGGGAATTTTTAGAAGATGATTTAAAACTGTAAAATAAAACCTACCATGTGAAATAATAAAAGGGAAAAATAGTGATGTTCCATAACAAAAAATAATGTTAATAAATACATTAAATAATAAAATAAAATTAAAGCAAGATACAAAGCATAAAATAACCCTCAAAACTTCTTCAATGCCAGTGAAAACCAGCAGGGGACAAGAAGTGCATGGAACATGCCCATCAGCTGGGCTTGAGCACACAACCACATAAATGTGAGGAAAAGCTAAAAACTTCCAAGGAATCCCCAAATAACTCCCAGCTGGAGCAGCCTTTGGGGTTGGGACCACTCAAGGCAGCACCTGACAAAGCAAATTCATTCAAGAGATGCATTTTGGGCGGCCTGAAGCATCTTGGGGCTCCAGGACACCAAAATGGAGAGGGGGACACCAAAATGGAGAGGGGAACACCAGGTCTGGAGGGAGAATGGGTGAAAAATGGGGGAAACTGGTGATAAAGCCACAAATATCCTCTTAGGAGAACCTCAATCCCCACAAGGAACCAGCACTCGGGACAAATAGTTGAAAGTTTTTATTCATATAAAACTCATATTAAAGAACATAAAAGATTCTTAAAAACAAAACCAAAAAACAACCCCCAAAAAACAAGGCTCTTGCAATTATTTACAGCAGTATTGCACAAGTAAAGTGGCAATTACCCTGTCCAAAATTCATCAGTGCAAAACACAAGGAAGGCAGGGAAATTGCAGTCAAAAATGCTACATCAGCTGGGTCCTGCGACACGATTTAGTGATTCACGTGATCCCATGGGATGGCTGCTCCAGGAAAACCTGGCTGGAGCAATCCCGGGGGGTGGAGGAACCAAATTCCAAATTCCCACTGAATTTCACTAATGCTGAAGTCTTTGATGTGCCTAAATCACTCCTGGGAAGTGGAGACTTAGGCACTTGGAGAAAAATAAGATTAAAATCTTGTTATCCACACCACGATGGCTTTGGAAGGGGATCCAACACTTCTGGCAGGGAGGAAACTGAATCTTCACAGGAACTTAAATAAGCAGGAAATAAATATACAACATTTCTACAAGTTACAGCATTAAACAGTAGAGTGCATTAATTACACAGGAAAAAAAAAAAGAAAAAAAAAAACCAAAAAAAGGACCTACAGTATTTACCAATTCCACTCTAAAAAAGTGTAGGAAAAAAAACAGGAATTTTTTAAAATTTTTTTTTAGTTTTTTTTTAAGTATTTCTAAGCTGTACAAAACTTACAGGAGAGAAAGGAGAGGGAGTACATTGCACACAGATATTTGGCTCAGATGATGAAAATAATACGGTACTCTACTCTAATAAATATTTGAGTATTTACAGTTTGGTGCAAAAGAGGAGAAGCAAGAACAGGAACAATCTGGTTTCCAAGGAAAACTCTTCATCCTTTTGGTGCAACACAGAGCACAGGCTACACTTAAACACGACCCAGAGCAAGCAGCCAACATGGCTGAAAGGAGCAAAAGTCCCTATTTTATATCATTCTACTGTTTTGAGGCTTTTTTGGGGGCTTTTTATCACTAAACCTCACAATGCCACAGGAATCCTATTTTTTGAGGGTTCCTTTTCCTATGATTTTTGGCTGGGAACTCCTCCTGTGGAGAAGGCCCTGGGAGACTTTGCCAATTTTTTTTTTCCTTAAAATGAACCTGGTTTTTGTCTCCATGGGAGGACAGGGTAAAGTGCTCTTTGGTGATTCTTTGGTGTACTCCAAGGGACACATTCTGGGATGCCCAAAGCTGGGAGATCCCAAAGCACCATTTCATCCACCAGCAACGATGGAACTCAACTGGGAGGGAAAAAAAAAATCTCACTGGGTCTCCCCCTCTCTGCTGCCGAGTTTTATCCTTTTAATTTTAATTTCACCAGTGGAATTCCATGGGAAATCCCTGGTGGTAGGTCTGGCTGGGGAAGCAAAGCCATCGAGAGCCAAAGCCAGAGGTAAATCCCAAGGGATGAGGAGCAGGATCTGCCCTGGCCAAGCCCCCTCGATATTTGAACCGCTCGCTCTCCACCATGGGGAGAGCATTCCTGCTCTTCCCAAAGGGCTCCAAAATGCCCTTCCCAAAACACCCCCTGCTCCTGCAACCGCTGCTCACCTTGCACTTCCAAGGAAAAAAAGGGAATAAAATTGGCAATTGAGGTTAAAACCAGCTCCATGATCCTACAGGAGCAGGAGGGGAGACCCCGACCCGCCAGGCAGAGAGCCCCCACTGGGGTCTGTCCATCGTTAATTAACACTAATTATCATCCATGGCACTCAGCAGCTTCTCCCTGTGGGAAGAACCGCTCCAAGGGGGGCTTGGGATGGGGTTTTCCTTCTTTTCTTTTCCTATGCTGCTGGTGAGACCAGAAACAAGCCCGCAGCTTTTGGGGAGCACCTGCACCAGCCTGAGGGAAGGGGATCTTTGTGCATAGATATGGGACGGCTGGAGCAGCCAATCCCCCAAAAACATCTGCTGGGAAGGGGAACACCCACGGATCCATGGCTCCGGGGGGGAAGGAGAGAGGCCCTGGGACATGGAGCACCTGGGAACTCCTCTGGGAGGACACAGAGCAGCCAGATCCCCTTGGAATGTCCTGGATAGATCCATGTCGGGCTGGCATCCTTCCATCTGCATCTGGGGTCTCATCCCCGTCCAAACACGGAGAGGATCCCAGGAAAACACAATCTTGGACACCTCTTTTGACAGCCACGACTCCCAACAGGTCCTGCTGCCGTCGCCTCCGGCTGCGGCGTTCTGGGAGCCGCTCCCTGCCTCTGGAAGGGTTTATTGCTGGATTACTCAGTCCCCCACATCTGATAGCAGACACTACAGAAGAGTTTTCACACGTTTTATAGAAAGAATTTCTTTTTAAAAAAAGGCAACCTGGTGGCTTGGGGTTTGGCTGGTTGGTTGTGATGGTTTGGACCCTGGAGTTCGACAGCGAATCTTGAAATTCAGAGTGGATCAAAAAAATAGAGATATTAAAAAAAAAAAAAAAATTAAAAACCAGTCAGCAGGAAATAGGCTGATTTGCATTATGCAAATGAAGTTGGATTTGGGATAGCATTAGGTATTTACAGGTAAAAGAAGTGCTGATATTAAATCCCTCTGCCCTTTTTCCAGCCTTTTCTGGGGGCAAACACCCCGGAGGCAAAGGGAGAGGGGAGGAATCCAAGCCTCTGCAAGGCAAACTCCGAGGGCTCTGCCCATCAGCTGGCTCAGGTTTCCCTCATTCCTGCCATGGGGCTCATGCCACAGAATTCCAGGAACGATGACAAAACATGATTCCACATTTTCGCTGAGACTCTTTTGGGGGGAAAAAAAAGGCAAAAAAATGAATAAAAAGAGTGGAGAGAAACACCGAGTAAACACCACTCTGCCATAAAAACGCCGCGCTCGGAATGGGATGTCCACCCTCATCCTGCCACGTGTCCTGGGGGAGAGGCAGGGTGGGAGCCCCACATCCATCCATGAGTCCATCCTTCCCGGGCTTTCCCAGCGAGAAATTCAGTCCTGGTGGCTCGGGATGCGCTGGGCGCTCTCACTGGAGCCTCCAGATGCGGCTGATGATGTAACGCAGCAGGCGCAGGATCATGACCTGAGGGTTCCCCAGCTGGTGATCCAAGAAACCCTGAAAGACAGGGGAGGGAAAAAAAAAAAGAAAAAAAAAAAAGAAAAACCAAACGAAGTGGTGACTTTAATTCCCACCATGAAGCCTCCCATTCTATATAAATGGAAAATATTCCAGAGGCACAAAGTGTTTAACACCTGGCAGCCAGCAGAGCTTGGGGCTCATGACAGCAGTCAAGGGATGCCCCCTCTTCCAGGAAAAGCCCGGGACCCACACGCCCTGTTGGGACCAGGAGTGTCTGGATGACGAACTGCCCCATTTCCCGGTGTCTCGTCCAAGGAACGGTCCCGGGGGGAGGCCCCACCCTGGGGAGCGTGACAGGGAAGGCGCCGGCACCGCGCCGGGACCCGTCTGACAGCCCCGACCTGCCCGGCGAGTGCGGCTGTGGCACTGCTGCAGTTCCCCATTTCTAACCTCAGGCTGAAAGGGCAAACCTCAGAGCCAGGCAGGGCCGGCAGGCACGAACCCTTACACCCTCCCCTCCGGAGCCCAGACAGCTCAGGAGCAGCCAGAACGCTTCCAGAAGGAAAAGGAACCTTTTCCACCAAGTGCCTGAGGAATGATAAATAAACAATGGCTGAAATGCTCTGAAACCTCCCCAGTTCTGGGTGCAGGGAGTGAGAATTTGTCACATGCTGGCTGCACCAGGTACAAAGTGTTTTTAGGGTCACGCATGACGTCCCCTGCTCGTGTCACCTGAGCAGGCAGGACGTGTCCTCTGCGTTCCACTCCTCGCCCCGGGCCAGCCCTGGGCTGGAATTGCAGCCACAGCACTGGGAACAGCCTCGTGCAACCCTGGAGGATGCTCCTTGCACCTCACCCTGCTGCTGTCTGGGAAACACCCCCATTCCCATTAACTTCACCCCCTTATCCACCACAGGGTTGTAGGGAACAGCAGGATGTGCCCAGAGACTTCCAGCACCAAAGGAGCCAGGATAATGCAGGAAGGACGTTCCTGCTCCTCACAAAGTGCTCCAAATTTAAGGCACTGCTCTGGGAAATGGGAGATGGGTAATCCAGCACTGAACAGGCTCCCCAGGGAATGGTCACAGCCCCAAGGCTGCCAGAGTTCAAGGAATATGTGGACAATGCTCTCAGGAACAGGGTGGGATTGCTGGGGCTGTGCAGGGCAAGGAGTTCGCACTTGGATTATCCTTGTGGGTCTGTTCCAGCTCAGGATATTCCAGGGCACTCTGCATGTCTTCCAGCTCCTCTGGATCTGCCTGCTGCTACCAGGTGCCTCCAGCCTTCTGGACAGCCTGATCCCTCCCTTTCATGGAAAAGATGCCCTTTCATCCCAAAAAGCAGCCCCTTTGCATCACAAGGGATCAGCCTGGGTGGGGGAGGTCTGAAGGTGTGCATTCTGGATTCTGGATTGGGGTATCAGTTTATCACCATTTTGTTGCAGGTCAGGAATGCCAGGGCATTTGGGAAAAGTGGAGCAGGTGGAGATGATGTGGAAAAAGCAGGATCACAGCAGCCTGACCCCTGTTTTATGGGAAAGCCAACCCTGGGAGCAGTGAGGAAGCTCTGCAGGAGCTATTTGGGAGCTGAAGAGGATGGATAAGGATCCAGCAGCCAGCATTCCATCACCAACACTGCCCCTGGCCCCTTTTCCCACAGCCTGAGTGGATGAAGCAGAACCCACAAGCAGGGACATGCAGCAGCTCATCCTGGCGAGCCCATCTTGCTTCACCCCCTGGGCTGGGCTGCCTTGGGATTGGGATTGGGCTCCTCTGGGGCATTATTGCATCGACTCGGGTTGCAACACCCCAAGGTGAGCGAGTTCATGGGCTTATAAAAACTCTTTCAAAACAGTCTTTGCAAGTGAAGTAAGTTCTAGGACTGAGTCTCTTCTTTGCAGCATCTGGGATTTGGGAGCTGGGCTGGGAATCGCACTGGAAGCTTCCCTAAAAGTGACGGTGCCGGGCAGTGCATCCCCCAAACTTTCCCTGCCTCTTCCTTTCTAAAAGTTTCCTCATCACCATCAGGTCCAGGCCCAACCCAACACCTCTGCCCCAAAACCCCTGTGCAAACCTGGTGCCCTAAAGCTTCCAGCCCCCATTTCAAGGTTCTTTTCAATTGCTTTAAAGGTTATTTTTCATTGATTTGAGGCCGCCGCCGCCGCTGATTTGCCTGGTCCAGGCCACCCCCCGCCCGCGCAGCCTTTTCTCGTCTGAGTGAGCGAAATGCTCACCGCAGAGAGAGTTTCCAGAAATGATTCAGCCCTCCCCTTCGAGAGAAACGGGAGGTGAAGAGGGGAAAGTTACCCTGCGTGGACAATAGGAGGCATTGAACTCGTCGCCGATGCGCCGCAGCTCCTGCGCGATCCAGATCTCCGGCTGCACCTCCTCGGCTGGAGAGTGGGATTGCCACCGGGACGCTGTGGGGATGGAACAGGAGAGTTGGGAACACAGGAAGGACAACAAATTGTACAGAATTTACTACATAAAACTCTCTAGTAACCCATCAGCTCTTGCCATCTTATGCCTACTTTTTATTATTATCATATTTAAACTCTTAAATCCCAGAGGCGCATGTGGGGGCTCATTGCGTACAACAAACAGGCTTTTACTCCTGGTTATTTCTGTATTATTATTACTACTATTAGGCTTTTATTTATTTATTGTAGACTTTCCATGGGAGCATCTCCAAGCTTTGGTCCTTCTTAAACAGGGATAAGAGCCAAGATGCCGCTCTCCAATTTCCTTCCCTCGCCAAACCCCCTCTTCCCACTTTTTTTCCTTCAGCAGCAACTCCTTCCCTAACCTTAAAAACCCTCTGCCTCATTCAATTTTCACATTTCTTCCCCAAATCATCCTCAAGTGCCCAACAAGGAAAACCAATGGGTTTGTCACAGGGAGGAGAAAGCCACAGTTGGATTTACGTGTGGAGAAGAAACCACACTTCCAGCAAATCCAAGTACTGGCTTGAATGAGAAAAGAAAGAGTTAACGTGTTTATTATACTGCAGGATACGTAATTATTTAGGTCCCCATCTTAAAAAGTTATTAAACATGTGATAAATCCTCCAAAGAGCCAGGGGGAAAAAAAAAAGAAACAGGACCATGTTTGATACCCAGCACCACCTTATCCCCCCTTTCTTAAAGTTCAGCATCCAAGTGGGAACTGCAGACTTAAGGAATATTTAAAAATTAAAAAAAAGAAAAGAAAAAAAAAAGAAATAAACTAAAAAAATAAAACAACCAAAAACCCAAAAAATACTGCACAAAACAAAGCAGCGTTTTGGCACAACAGCTTCGGAGGAATCACAAGGGAACAGGAATAGCTTCCAATCTTCCAAACATTCAAAGGATTAGTAGGGCAGTTAAGAGAGAGGGGAAAAAAAAAAAAAAAAAAAAAAAAAGAAAGAAATTAAATAAAAGCCTGGCTCCAACCTGATTGGAAAATGCGTTTCCGAGCCAAGGCAGCGCCGCTTGGCCGGCCGGGGGCCGTGTTGCTGTGTTTTGTTTTCGCGCTGTAGTAGCAGCGCCCGCCGCCCGCCCCGAGCGCGTCCCCGCCCGCCGCGGGCGCGCCACGCGCGGCGCTGCGATCCCGGCGGGAGCGGCCGGGGCGGAGCCGCTTCCCAAATCCCTCCCCGAAAAACAACAACACGCGGCCAGCCCGAGCAGGAAGCGGCCAGCAGCGCCGGGGACGGGAGCAGCACCACGCGAGGGAGCCGCTGGTGCTGCTGCTGTCGCTGCTCCATGCGCTCCATCCTTCCCCTGTGCCATCCTCCCGCCCGCCCCAGGGACTCGGGCTCGGCTCGGTGGCTGAGAGCGAAATCGGGCTGAGGTTTTCGGAAAGGACTTTCTGCAGCGAAAGGGGCCAGTCATAACCGGGTCTCCGAACCAGTCACGGGCGCTTTCGGGGGCGGGGGGACACAGTCATAGCGGGAGCCACCACCGAGGGTGACAGCCCCGGGCACCGGGACGTCACCGACGGGAAGCCGCGCCTGGCTCCGGCCCCAGGGATGCTCCAGCATGGAATTGCTGCGGTTCCGGCTCGGAAGGGCAAAGAAAGCAACCCCGAAGTGCAACGTCAGCTCCTGGGTTAGGTATCCAACCCCTAGCCGAAGGAAATCTTGGAGAGCCGGGAGAAAACGGCAGCGATTCCAACACAAGAGCACCAGGACATCACCAGCAGATTCCCAGCTTAAGGTTTTCCTCTTAAATCCAACTATTTGGAATCTCCTTTGAGAGCAACAGGTTTATACTGCTCCTCTCCTCATGGGAATACACACCAGGATCAAACCAGCACAGGGAAAAGCCATTTCCAGAGCACCTGCTCCAGCCACATTCCCAAAATCCACATGCAAACAAACACACTGCCTTCAGACCAAAACTCCAATGGAAGGAAATGAAGGAAAGACATGACATACCACGAACAGAGTCACCCAACCCCTTCAGAAAGCGTGAGTTTGTCTTGGGTGACTTACACTCCCAGCTGGGAATTCCCCATCCCTGCCAACCTCTTCCCCAGAACAAACAAATCAGCTCACCCTTGCTCCTCTCCTTCCCACCCCCAAAAGCATCGTCCTGGATATCCAGGCTGGCACTGCAGCCCTTGTTCCCTTCCATCCCAGAGCATCCCCTTGCTGCTTTTGTCTCATTTCCCAAAAGAAACAGCTTTGGAGGCAGCTGGATGTCAGAACTGTCAGAAAGGCCGCACAGCCCAAAGCATCACTTCCCAAAACCTCGACACCAACAGCTCCTCCTTACACAACCCAGGGCATTCCCAAGGGCTGCCTCCACCTTCACTTGCCCTCATCAGAACCTTTGGGGAAGGTTTTGCAAGGTTTAGAGAGGGACTTTTGAGGCAGAGCATGAGCTTGCCGTGCTGGAGCAGCCTTGGAGCAGCACTGCCCATGGGAGAGGCCGGGAGCACCCGTCGCTCCTGCTCGCAGGAAACGCCTGTTTATTTTAATAAAAATAATAATTATCATTATTATTGCTTATGCTTCCGAGAGAAACTCTCCACCTTGCGAGCCTCTGCTCACAACAGATAAAATCAGTGGGTAAAAGCACAACAAAAATATCTCCTTTGCTTCCTTCCCGAGGGACTGACCCGCTTCCATGTGGAAAACTCCACGGCACGCATCCAGCTGGACACTGCCAAGGCACAGGGATCGAGGAGGAGGTGTGCAGGGCAAAGGCATGGATATTTCCCAAGGAGAGCTGCATGGGAAGGCACAGCCTGGGAGCTGCAGGCCTGGATGGGGATAAAACAGCTCTGTAGCTCCACGCTCCCAACTTAATCCGTTCAGGAGTATCCAAGAGTCCCAGTTAAACAGCACTGAGGATTTTCCATTTGCTTATAGCTGTTTAGGATGATGCCCCTAGCAACACTCACAGAGCAAAAGCTCCAATAAAACAGCTGATGAGAGCACAGGACTTTGGGAAAAAAAAAATATCAGGGAAAACTTCAATTTCTTCACAGATAAAAGAAACTGAAGCCTTGGCTCTCCCGGCGAGGAATTCCGGGAGCATCCCTGCCTGGCCGTGCCAGGGCGAGGTTGTGAAACACGAATTAAGCTGTAATTACTGCAATAATGTCACAAAATCTATCCTAAGGGCACGTTACAGCCAGGCCTCCGTAGCCAGAGCCAGGAGGGAGGAAAAACACCACCAACCAAAAAAAATTGGTGTTGAGATCCCAAAAAAGCTCGGAGCTGCTGTTTGTTATCCCCATGCCTCGCTCCCACCGTGCCCTGGTGCGAGTTCAAAGGTTTCCTCCAATTCACCAGGTTATTCATCAGGAGAGGGGAATGCTGGACACTCGTGCAAGCTCCCGCGAGCAGGTTTTCCCTGCTGGAGGGGCTTCACCTGGCAAAGCCACTCGCAAACACGCCCCCGCACGCCTCCGGGCCGCTTCCCAGCGGGATTTCGGGATGCAGGACCCCAGCACCTCCGCCACCGATCGATGGGAGAGCCGGCAGCAGCACACGAGCCAGGAGCCACTTGCTCGCTTGGCAAAACACTCTGGGACAGCGAGCCCCGAGCAGAAAACTGGACTCGACAACTCTTGTCCCCTCCTCCCCTGGCAGCGGCTGACCGAGCCCGGAAAAGAATAAACATCATAGTAATAAAAACCCCGGCGCTGGACGCGCGGGAGTTCCCCGGCGCTGTGTTTGCCCGGCCAGCTTCCACAAGTCCCAGAGCGCCGGGAGAGCCTCCAGCCCAGCTCCAACGGCACGGCTGCTCCCAAAACCCACGGGCTGGGCGGGATGCGGGAGCTGCTGCTGCTGCAGGTGCCTGGCATGGATACCTGCGTTCTCCATCCTTCCAAGGGAAGCCAAAGGGCAGGACCCCTGATGCGCCCCTCAGCAACCCCCTGGCACCGTGCACTCACAGCTTTACACACTCCTACTTTACTCTGGCACCTGTGCACAAACCCCAGCACCTCACACATCCCATGAGAATCCGTGTTTTCCGCGGTGCTGAGGAAAGCCAAGCCCGGTGAGGAGGGCAAGGCGAGGAAAGCCAAGCCAGGTGAAGGGTCGGAAAGGCGCTCCCGCACTTTCAGCCTACCCCTGACCTGTGTATTCACCCTCCACACATCTCCCCCGGCACTTCACTTTCACATCATCGCACGCCCCCACAGCAACTCGGCTCTAAGGGAAGCCACGCCAGGTGAGGAGGGGGAGCGAGGAAAGACACGCCAGGTGAGGAGGGGGAGCGAGGGCAGCCGAGCCCGGCGGGGAGGAGAGGCGAGGAGGAGGATGGGGAGCCGCGCCCCGGAGCTTACCCATGGCGCTGAGGCAGTGGCTGAGCGCCTGGCAGGGCGGGCTGGGGGTCTGCGTGGCCTTGTCGCAGCCCAGGGGCGCGGGGCTGCGCTCGGCTTCGAACGAGAAGTACCCGCTGGAGGAGCGCGGCAGCAGCGGCGACCTCCGCACGAAGATGAAGAGCGGCGAGCGGGTGGCGAAGGGGCCGGGGCTGGCGGGCGGGCCCCGCGCCGCGGACACCGCGCCGGCCCCGGGCAGGGCGGCGGGAGCGCCGGGGCGCAGCTGCGCGCCCGGGCCCGGCCCCTCCGCCGCCGGCAGCCGCCCGCCCTCGCCGTCGCGTCGCGCCTTCACCTCGGGGGGCTGCTTGGCCATCGGGGCTGCCTGCGGGGAGCGGAGCGCGGTGAGCGGCCGAGCGCGCCCAGGCCGGCCCGGCCCCCGCCCGCCCGCCCCATTGTTCTGCCGAGCGCGCCCGCGCCCCCGCCCCGGCCCGGGCCCTGCCCCCGCCCCGCGCCCCCGGCCCCGCTCACGGTGCTGCCGCCGCTGGAGCGGCCCCGGCCGCGGCTGCGCTCGGGTGTGCGCGGGAGCGGCCCCGGCCCCGCTCCGCCCCGTGTTTACAGCCCCAGCACCGCCCCGGCCTCCCCCGGCCCCGGCACCGCCCCGGCCCCGGCGCCGCCCCGGCCTCAGCACCGCCCCGAGCCCGCCCCGGCCCCGGCCCCGGCCCCGGCCCCCGCCCCGCCCGCGGGGAGCGCCCGGGCACCGGCAGTGCCTCACGCACGCTCGGGGGGTGATAAACACAGCCCGGGGCACGGCGCGGCCTTACACACGCACACGCGCACCGCCAGCCTCTCTCACACACACAGAAACACACCGTACACAAACACAAATCCCACACGAACACACATTGCACACAAACACAGCCAGAGCACTGCGTTCTGATATCTTCACCCTTCCCACCCTGCAGCACACACTCACACCTTGCACACTCAGTACGCACCCCGCGGGGTTCACCCCTACACGCACCCCGTGTACTGTGAGTGCTCCCCTTACCTGCACACCCCTTACACGCCCCAGGCACTCCTTGTTACACCCCCATGTGTGCACACACTTCACATCCTGGTGCTTGCTCTTCACACACATTTTACACACACACCCCTGCCACAGGGCATCTCCTGCACCCCACAACCCCTCCTGCTGCACCCCTTGCACACTTGTGTGCACACACACCCAGCACTGGTGCATCCCTCGAGCAGCAGCAGCAGCAGCATCTCCAGCCTGTGGAGAAACACAGCTGTGGAGAGGAAAGGCCATGGGAAGGAAGAAGGACCATGGGGTGGAAGAAGCCTTATGGAGAGGAAGAACCCGGCCCATCCACCACAGGGGCTGAGCGCTGCTGCTGGAGCAGATTCCGGGGTGTCACAGGTCCCCCATCCCACCCCAGTGTCCCTCACCTCAGCCAGGGATGGTCCCACACACTGCTGGAGCTTCCCTGGCTGCTCCAGCTCTGTTCCCATCCCCTTCACGCCTCTCCAAGGTGAGGGGAAGGAAAAGTGTCTGTGGGTGTTTGAGTGGGCAAAAATAATTAGGGAAATTTGTTAGGAAGGCACATTAGGGAAAAACTTGAAGACAGGGACCAGCAGCAGAAAGGAAGGGCTCAAAATGTCAGGCAATCACATTTCCACACCAGAAAAGTGAGGGAGAAGCAGCGCTGAAAATCAGGCTTGTTCTCTTTTCCCAGCCCTCCAGCAGTGGTACCCACGGGGCTCCACAAGGCCCTGCTTCCTTCACGCTTCCCTTGGATCCAGGAGCCACCCGAGGCTTTTCCCCTTGGCTGGGGCCTGCAGAGCATCCTGTGCTGGTGGGGCAGAGCGAGGGGCACACTCTGGAGGCACCTGGGCTGCCGGGACACGGGGCCAGCCCGCAGATGTTCAGTCTATTTTCTCCTCCTGGGTCGTTTTCGTTTCTGCATGGGCGGCTCACGCGAGCAGAAAGGGGATGGGGAGCTGCCCGGCCTTTCCAGCACCCAGCCTTGAGCTGGCCCTTCTCCTCCTGCCCTCGGGATTCTGGAGAGCCAGGACAGGCACCAAGCGCATTTTCCCACCGTGAATCACGGCTCCAGCCTCACGGAGGAAATCCGTTTCGACGTTATCCTCGTTCCTCTTGTCGTGAGCCATCTCGGAGGAATTTGCCCCAAAGCCCATCCCAAAGTCCTTCATTTTCAGCACTGTGGGCACAGATTGAGGGAGGGGGAGTTGAAGCCTGCCCCTCAGGCCCTGCAGCATCCATCCCCAGCTCCCTGGGAATGCTGTTTGGGAGTGCCTCATCCCAGCCCTCCCTGGCACCCGTCAGCATCCATGTGCAGGCAGCTTTCCCATGTCCCACATGGAAATGAGGAGGAAGAAAGGAGAGGGATGGAGGAGGATGGTGGGGATCCCATGCTGCTGCAGCACTCCAGTTGTGGCATCTCCCACTCAGCCTTCCCTCTGTGCCATCACAGAATCACTTAGATTGGAAATGACCTCCCAGATGATGGAGCCCAGCCCAATCCCAGCAGGTTGGGAAGCAGACAGGGAGGAGGTTGGAGCAAAGATGATGGGGCCTGGCTGGAGGGAGGCCAGACTCCTCACAGTGCCCTGAAAACCCCCAGGGAAAACCACCCCCAAGCCCTCCTCCCCAGCCAGCAGGTGCTCACCAAACCCATTCTGACCTGAACAAAGCACCAACGGAAAAAAATGACACCTTGTTCTCCTTCTCCTGCACCCATCATGATAAATGTTACTTCACTCGTGCTGCCAGATAAAATCAGGTCTGAACCTCAAGCACGAGGCTTTGTGTGAGCCAGGCTTGGAGCCTGACCTTTACAGAGCTCCCAATTTCAAACACCAACCCAAAATCAAACCCTGTGTCATCAACGTGGGGGTGCTCGAACAGCAAAGGTTGGATTGAGATAAGAACAGGTGGGTTTTGTTAAAAAAATGTGTATTTTAGTTAAAGAAACCCCCAAACCCTCTCTGGGGGATCCTCGCACATGCACAGTGCTGACAGTGATGTGGGGGTGAATCAAGTGACAAGAATGGTCCTGTTGTGATCTGAGTGGTCCCTGGGCTGAGCACAGGGGTGACACTTGGGTTCCCTGCTGCCACCAGTGAATCTGGGACCTGTTAATGTATATTTAAATTTATTTATTGTTCCTAATGGGGCAAGTGACATCGCTGTGGGTGACCCCAAGGAGGGAGACCAGCACTGCTGCTTCATTAGCGTGCACCTGACTAATTACTGAAGTGGCTGCAGCTTTCAACAACCTCACACTTTATCCCTGTTAATGCCTTCAAAGCCAAAATTAAGAATTTTGGCCAGGAATTGCAAGGAGGTGGCAGCAGAAAGGGCTTGGCCGGGGCTCAGTGGTTGATGGGCCAGCACCAGCAAGGGATGGAGGAGCTGGGGGAGAGCCTCAGAGCCCAGGGGGGGCCCCGGCTCGATGGGAGAGGGTGAAAGATGAGCAAAACCTGGGTTTTCTGCAGAAGAAAGGGCAGAGGCACCCACCCACGCGCCAGGAAATCTCTCCTCTCCCGTGTGGGTGGTGGAGGCCCCGAGATGGGTTATCTCTAAAGGGCGACTCTGGGGATGCCTCGAGATCTGCAGCGGCGTGGAGCCGGCGCGTGCCGGCGAGGAAACATCGCCCTGCTAGCCGGGCTCTCCCAAGCTCCACTCTTGGGACTTTCAGCAGCTTGGTTTAAATAAAATAAAATAAAATACAGCAGCAGAGCCTCCACCCCGTCTCATCACCCCACTGATCCATTTTTACCCCTCGTGGGGTGGTTTTAACCTTTCTCCTCCCTGCCTCTCGTGGGGTGATAGTGGGACGGGGGCAGGAGCAGGTGGCTGGGACACAGGGCTGTTTTTAAGGGGGTTTAATGTGGAATAACCGCATTTATTAAGGGGCAAAGCTGCAGCTTAAAGCTCCATCGTGCTCATAAATGTTCTGAAAAGTGCTCCTCCACATATCCCTCTGCATTATATGAGGAACTAAAAATATATAATTTACAATATACATCTAAAAACTTAAGCCTGGCAGAGATTTTGGCCTGGCTGGAGAACAGCTGGCTCCGGCTCAGCTCGTAAAAAAAAATGCAACTAAGGGGAGAAAGGGAACAAAAAAGCCACCCCAGCATCCAATGTTTATGTTTCCACCAGCTCTGAGGTTGCTCCAGCTGATCTGCCTCCCGGTGCAACTCACTGCAGCTGAGTCAGGAACCAGCTGCTTCGGATCAAAGCCCAAGGCTTTTCCACGTGCCACAGGAAGCAGGCTGCTTCCAAGGGGAATCTGAGAGGTTCTGCCATCAGGGCAGGGAGAGGAGCCCCAGCTGGAGGGAGAGCAGCAATGCCTAGAACACATCCCAGCTCCTCCTGACCATCCAAGCTCTACCAGGTGCTCAGGCTCACCATGGTTTTTCAGCTGAACAATTTGAGCAGAGGAAAAACACCCCTGAAACAGAAGTAGGAGGAGGGAGAATAGGAAAGGCTGTTGTCTCCCTCCTGTGGGGAGATGCAAAAATCAAATTAATGCCCTCTCCTCCCCCATGGGGGTTGTGCTGCTCAGGTATTCCTTTTAAAGGAACACTTTTTCCCCAAAATTCTCCTGTTACAGTCAAACAAGAGACATTTGTCTTTTGAGCTTCCCCTGAGCTTGATAATGATGTGGGGGGAGGTCAGAACTGGAGGTGCCAAGGGTGGGTTCAGTCCTGTCCGAATTACATCTGACCTGCAAACCTCCATTTCCTCCATCTTAGAAATTCCTAAGGACAGGCAGAGCCGAAAGAGCCCAATCCAAGTACACCCATTGCCTCCCAAACCAACCAACAACTCAATTTAGCTTTTTTTTTGCCCCCAAAAAAAGCACAGAAAGATGCAAGCCATCATTGCTGAAGTCAACCCCAAACCCGTTTATTATTTGAAACCAAGTAATTACAAAAATATTCCACATCCATAAAACCCCAAGTCCTTGGAAACTGGGCAAAGTCAACCCTTATTTCCGTGAGCGTTTGTGCTCAAGGAGCAACACAACAAGTCTGTTCCGAAGGAACTTGATTTCCTTAGCGTAGGACCTGCAGAATAAATCCTTGAGCTTCTGGCGCAGGGCTCGGAGGGAAGGCAGGTTGTGGCAGCTGGGAATGTTCAGCAGGCTCTCAAAGAACTCCTTCCACAGCTCAGCGTTGGCAAGCCTGCAGAAAGGGACAAAAAAGCATCAAAAAAAAGCACTAAATTCAGCTGTTAAAGTACTCGTTTTTAGTCTGCTCCCAGTTAGGAAAACTGTGACAGAACCTGACCTCAGCAATGTGGTACCAACGTGGGTTTCTAGGGAATCTAGGCAAAGATTTGGGGGATATTTT